AGCAGCAGCAGCAGCCACCAGCAGCAGCACCAGCAGCAGGCAGCAGCAGGGAGCAGCAGGCAGGCAGCAGCAGGCAGCAGCAGGTAGCAGCAGGCAGCAGCAGGCAGCAGCAGACACCAGCAGAGGCAGCAGCAGGCAGCAGCAGGCAGCGGCAGGCAGCGGCAGGCAGCGGCAAAGTTGCAATTTTATTTATATAGTAGGGTTTCAGAAGTGACGTTAGGCCCTTTTTTGGGGTTCCTTTGCTACGTTTTGGGTACGAAATTAGGTGGTGTTTTGCTGTTTCGGATGTGTTTCGAAAAGGGTGTCTGGTTGTTTGTTTCTTGCTTTGGAGGCTGTTTGATTGCAGCAGCACCACAGCAGCAGCAGCAGCCACCAGCAGCAGCACCAGCAGCAGGCAGCAGCAAGGAGCAGCAGGCAGGCAGCAGCAGGCAGCAGCAGACACCAGCAGAGGCAGCAGCAGGCAGCAGCAGGCAGCGGCAGGCAGCGGCAAAGTTGCAATTTTATAGTAGGGTTTCAGAAGTGACGCCCTTTTTTGGGGTTCCTTTGCTACGTTTTGAGGGCTGTTTGATTGCAGCAGCACCACAGCAGCACCACAGCAGCAGCAGCAGCCAGCAGCAGCCAGCAGCAGCACCAGCAGCAGGCAGCAGCAGGGAGCAGCAGGCAGGCAGCCGCAGGCAGCCGCAGGCAGCTGCAGGCAGCAGCAGGCAGCAGCAGGCAGCAGCAGACACCAGCAGAGGCAGCAGCAGGCAGCGGCACAGCAGACACCAGCAGAGGCAGCAGCAGGCAGCAGCAAGCAGCAGCAGGCAGCGGCAGGCAGCGGCAAAGTTGCAATTTTATAGTAGGGTTTCAGAAGTGACGTTAAGCCCTTTTTTGGGGTTCCTTTGCTACGTTTTGGGCACGACATTAGGTGGTGTTTTGCTGTTTCGGATATGTTTCGAAAAGGGTGTCTGGCTGTTTGTTTCTTGCTTTGGAGGCTGTTTGATTGCAGCAGCACCGCAGCAGCAGCAGCAGCCACCAGCAGCAGCACCAGCAGCAGGCAGCAGCAAGGAGCAGCAGGCAGGCAGCAGCAGGCAGCAGCAGGTAGCAGCAGGCAGCAGCAGGCAGCAGCAGGCAGCAGCAGGCAGCAGCAGACACCAGCAGAGGCAGTAGCAGGCAGCGGCAGGCACCAGCAGGCAGCAGCAGGCAGCGGCAGGCAGCGGCAAAGTTGCAATTTTAAGTAGGGTTTCAGAAGTGACATTAGGCCCTTTTTTGGGGTTCCTTTGCTACGTTTTGGGTACGAAATTAGGTGGTGTTTTGCTGTTTCGGATGTGTTTCGAAAAGGGTGTCTGGCTGTTTGTTTCTTGCTTTGGAGGCTGTTTGATTGCAGCAGCACCACAGCAGCACCACAGCAGCAGCACCACAGCAGCAGCAGCAGCCACCAGCAGCAGCACCAGCAGCAGGCAGCAGCAGGGAGCAGCAGCAGGCAGCAGCAGGCAGCAGCGGGTAGCAGCAGGCAGCAGCAGGCAGCAGCAGACACCAGCAGAGGCAGCAGCAGGCAGCAGCAGGCAGGCAGAGGCAGAGGCAGCAGCAGGCAGCAGCAGCAGCAGCAGGCAGCGGCAGGCAGCGGCAAAGTTGCAATTTTATAGTAGGGTTTCAGAAGTGACGTTAGGCCCTTTTTTGGGGTTCCTTTGCTACGTTTTGGGCACGAAATTAGGTGGTGTTTTGCTGTTTCGGATGTGTTTCGAAAAGGGTGTCTGGCTGTTTGTTTCTTGCTTTGGAGGCTGTTTGATTGCAGCAGCACCACAGCAGCAGCAGCAGCCACCAGCAGCAGGCAGCAGCAGGGAGCAGCAGGCAGGCAGCAGCAGGCAGCAGCAGGTAGCAGCAGGCAGCAGCAGGCAGCAGCAGACACCAGCAGAGGCAATAACGCGGCATACTGACCATTTTGAAAACAGTAGAGTCGGAAATTTGGCACTAGCAAACTGTCGGGTGGACCAATCCTGTAACTGTCTCGTGGTACATTCAAGTCAGTTGTACTTGCATCATGAACATATACATCAGCATTCACACTCTTGTAGCTGGTGCCCAGAAGAAAAAATATTGCGGCCGCAAGGTGGCTTTGCAAGTCGAAAGTCTGTGCTTCTGCCTCGTCCGGCTTTGGCTCCAATTTTAGATGTCTTTGGCATGATCTGCATAGTTGATGTCGTGCTTTCTGCGATGCCATCACAGAAGGTCCCATAGAAAGGTATCCATGAAAAAGCAAATTCAATAGCAATGCTTCAAGCCAGGGGATATCAAAACTAGAACCGCAAAGGCGCCATGCCAGCTTGGCAAATACTGCTTCTGCTCTTCGATCTACGTCTTTTTCTGTTCTGTCTATGTTGGCGCTTGTCCTCGTGCTGTCCGTCTCTACGGTTGGTTCAGTTTCACGCACAGTGGTTTGGCGCAACAGACTATCAAAATGATATCCCCTGCCTTGCACAGAGGTGTGATTGTATATATGCAGCTGTAAGGCATGATGCTCGGGGTGCTCGAACCCAAGATGGACAAGAATCTTGTTCCGATCTGGGTCTGCCGTGCACTCACCAAATCGGTCGTGCACACGAATTATCATGTTAGCGCGCGCAACAGCCCGAAATCGTTGCAACAGAAATGTCACAATGTGCGGGCCATCGCGGTGCGCATCTAAATATGGAAAGAATCCCTTCGCGCTTGGAAGTACTGCTTGCCCAACCGCTTGAACCAAATGCTTTCTGCATGCAACTGCACTGCGTCGTCTTGCTGCAACATCTGCGCCCAAGTTGCTTGGCAAAAGACCTTCATACGCTAAGCACAGCATCAAGGAATCGATTAGGCAATTGTTGACGCCGTGTGACAGCGCCTGCTGCCACCTGAACCCTTCAGCTGCCAAAGCCTTTAAAGCTTGGGTATCAGTCATGCTTCGGCCAGGAGCATTTACCTGCGCGATGTCACACAGACGGTCCGCAACTGCAACTCAGTGAGCCTCTGTCGTGCTTGTTTGCAATTCTTTCCAGCCATCCCAAGTGGGCACCCAACTCTGCCCAAGTACTTTTGCTGCGTCCTCTGCTGTTCCAAGTCTAGATAACAAGATTGCTGCGCTTCAAGGTGCGATACATTTCATTGCGTTACATTGCAATGCATTGCATTGCATTACATTGCATTGCATAACATTACATTGCCTTACATTGCGTTGCATTACACTTCATTGCATTGCTTTGCATTACCTTTCGTTGCTCTTCATTGCAATGCAGGGCATTGCATTGCATTACATTGCATGGCATTACATTGCATTACATGGCATTGCATTACATTTCACTGCATTGCATTGCATTGCATTACATTTCATTGCTTTTCATTGCAATGCATTGCATTGCATTACATTACTTGGCATTACATTGCATTACATTGCATTCAATTGCATTACATTGCATTCCATTACATTGCATTGCAGTACATTGCATTGCATTACATTGCATTGCATTGCATTACATTGCCTTACATTGCATTGCATTGCAGTACATTGCATGGCATTACATTGCATTACATTGCATTGCATTGCATTTCATTGCATTACATTGCATTCCATTACATTGCATTGCAGTACATTGCAGTACATTGCATTGCATTGCATTACATTGCCTTACACATTGCATTGCAGTACATTGACATTACATTGCATTGCATTTCATTGCATTGCATTACATTGCATTGCAGTGCAGTACATTGCATTGCACTACATTACATTGCATTGCATTGCATTACATTGCATTCCATTACATTGCATTGCATTGCAGTACATTGCATTGCATTACCTTGCATTGCATTGCCTTGCATTGCAGTGCATTGCATTGCATTGAATTGCAGGCTTTCATTTATAGTTTCTTTAGGTCAATTTATGATTTCTTTAGGGTTCATTTTGTGTTTCATGTAGGGGTTTCTGGCAGCAATTCATTCGGGTTTCTTTCGGTTTCACAGTTTCACCTACGGTGTTTAAACTTTCATTTAAGATACAAACAGGAAAGAATAAAACAAAAAAAGTAGGATTTCAATTTCATGTAGGAATTCTCTTGATATTTACATCTCTTAAGGGTTTTATTTCGAGTTTCTTTTGCGTTTCTGTCGGGTTTCATGTAGGGTTTCATTTAGGGATTCTTTCCGATTTCCTTTCGCGTTTAATTTCGAGTGTTATGTGAATTTCTTATCAGAAAATCTTGTCAAAGTTTTCAAACATTCATGTGGGTTTCTTGAGAGTTTCTTTAGAGTTTCATTTCAGATTTCGTTCATGAGGGGTCAAAAAAACACGGGGGAAGTCAAACAAACAAGGTGGGGGATCAAAAAAAACAACGCCCTCGTATACTTTCATAAAATATCATGCACCTGTGCGGCGCAACCATGCACCTGTGCGGCGCAACATTAGCTGTATAATAATAGGGCCAAAAATATTGTGTATATATATATATATAACTATTATACTGTTACTTAGATCCATGAACCCATAAAACCATAAGATCAGAGTATTAACATGCACTCAAATGAAAAACCCATTTACACATGAAAATTCAAACCTATCAAATATATTTCACAAGGATGTACATAGCAAAAAGGTCGAGAACCTCAAGGTGCAACGCACCGAAGCGTTTTTCTGCCAGCTTTGCTTCCTTGCCACTTCTTCCGGGGTCGGCGGCAGGGGCGGCAGCCCTTAAATAATCCATCTGCAAAGTTAGACATCTTCAGATATCTTCAACCAAAAGCAGTTCAAAAACCCCAAGTCCCCAACGTTTCGCATGTCATCTGGGCCACCTGTCACCATGTGCATCCAGGTCACCTGTGGCAGCCGCTTCTTGGCCGGCAAGGTGGGGTCCAAGTTGCGGTTTTGGCCACCGAACTCCTTGGCGAACTTGGGCATCTTCTTGGCGGGCAAACCTCGGTTGCAAATGCTGCACCGCTTTTCCACATATTGGACTGTTCGACTTCAAACATGTTGTCGTTGTCGTTGTCGTTGTCGTTGTCGTTGCTGTTGCTGTTGTTGTTGCTGTTGCTGTTGCTGCTGTTGGTGTTGTTGTTGTTGTTGCTGTTGCTGTTGCTGTTGCTGTTGTTGTTGTTGTTGTTGTTGTTGTTATGTGCTTTTTGTAAATAGGGTTCACCACCTTCAACCCTCCAAACACCCAAACATTTTTGCTACGTTCCATTACCTTAATGTGATGGACTTCAAACATGTTGAATATGTATCACCACCATATCTCAGTTTTCATCATCTTCAACGCTCCAACTCCGATCATACCATAATCATACCTAAACATTTTCAAACATACATATTGCAGCAAATTTCAGCCTAACACATCAACAATCTAAACAAATTAAACTATGGTAAACATCATCATATCAATATATATATATATACATATACATACGCATATATATATTATATATATATGTATATGTGTGTGTGCATGTATATGTGTGGAAATATACAGACATTGCTTAGACAATTAAATATTTAAAACATGTGCTAGGGTCAAAAAAAATGCATATGATTTATGATAATCTCATGACATCCATCCCAAAATGGGAAACACCCTGCCCTAGCGAGGCCAGAGGTCGAGACGTCTTTATGATGCCGGAAAACAGATTCCTCTTTGTTGACCCCACAAAATAAGACAATAATATCCCACAAAAATAGTGATGACTGACGTTCATACTTTTTTGGGGGGCTACTATATTAATTATACTGTTGTGCTTTCATTAGTGTCCTGGTCTGGTATTGCGTCAAGTTTGTCCAACATGATTCCAGACCTACAATGGTTTAAACAAAAAACACCAACTTGGTGGATTTTCCTGGATTAAACCAACACCAAGTTGGTGGATTAATTCATTAAACCATCACCTGGTTTATGTCTGAGGTTCTGGCACTTTTTCAGGGAAAATTCAGCTTAAACCCATCAATCCAGGTGATGAGTTTCTCCACCCCAACCATGACCCCATCCGCCAGGGGGCTCGGATGAAGCGGCGGCAAGCCACGTGCTTCCGCTGGAAGTTGGATCTTCATGGGCTCCGTGCCCGGCACGGCGGTGGCCGCGCTGGGGCCACAAGGACTGGTGGCAAACCTGGAAACCATGGGAAATCATGGGAAAATCAAAGGAAAACATGGGAAATCATAAGAAATTCATGGGAGAATCGGTGGGAAATCATGGGAACATCATTGAACATCGGGGGAAAATCATAGGAAAATCATGAGAAATTCATACGAAAAACATGGGCAAACTGTTTAGAAAAACATGGAAATACATGGGAGCTTGGGATATGTATAAAGATGGAGTTGTGGGGAAGAGGTGTAAAATTCCTTTGTCAAATGAGTCTTTGATGGAACTGGTCCATGGCCATGTTGGATTCACTCTCCCGATTTCTCTCCCATGGTTTGAGGTCACAACTATCGTGTGTTTTTTGGTAGCTCTGAATTTCCCCTTGCCATGTTCAATGAGGGTCTACAGGTGGCAACTGGTAAGTGGGTTGTATCAACTTGTACCTGGGACCTGAGATATGTTGAGACACCAGTTCCTACCATTTCCTACCCATGACCGGCAACCCAGGTGGCATAGTTGGGATAATTTTGGATACCATACCACCCCCCCCCCAAAAAAAAAGTAGTCCCACATGACTGGCTGCTCCACGTGTTTCATGAGGATTCTAAATTGCTATAGGGTATGTAAGACTGGAGGAATCGAGACCTTTTCAAGCATCAGCGGCCATCTCAACACATATGATGAGCTGATGTTGGAAAACCTCAGCAGCCTTTAGATTCACATGTTAAATTCAAGGACATGTCAACATATCAAGGGCCATCGATCCTTGGGTTATGCGCATCCAAAGTTCCGAGTCACACTGGTGTTTACCAAGGTGCAAGGGCTCTGTCCCATGCCCATCGGAAGGTTTTTTCTGGGAGCCAAACATGTTCTTCAAACAAATGTCCGAGACCAAATTGTAATTTACCATTTGCACCAGCAAACCTTCCCTTTTTACAAGCCATTTCGGAGACTTGCACAACGTTTGGAACATGGACAAACTCCAACCACGAGCGCTGGGTTTCCGCCCAGAAGCTGTCCCGCACTGAAAGTGGTCTTGGATTTCATGGAGTCATTCACCTCGAGGCCGGGTGCATGTGATGAACTATTTATGAGTTATACAAATAGTGTATTCTGCACCTACGGTGTGCATAATATATGTATATATAAGTATACATATGAACAACACATAAGTGCAGGTGTAATTATACATGTTTATGTGTATATATATATATATACATATGCGTGTGTGTGTGTGTGCATGCATGCACATATACATATGCCCGTTGCATTGCAAACAAATCTGTAGGCTGTTGGAATGGGATAGCGAGAAAAAAGTAAGCTATTGAGAATAAAACAACAGCAGTTGGGATCGGTGTGGATCTGGGTTCTTAACCAAAACAAAGACAAACCCAAATAGCGGGAATATCTAGGACGATGGGCG